TGTATTTTTCAATCTTTTTGTCTCTTTTCATCTGTAATGCTATATTTCTGTTGAAGTTTTTATATCCTGTTTATCTTTTTCCTTTAATTCTTTAAATCTTTTAATTCTTTTTCTGTCTTTCTTTTTTAAAGTAATTTTTACGATAAATTATTATCTAAACATGCCGCGAAAAGCAGAAAATCTTTGAATGAGATATTCGAGATTCTAAAAGATTTATGTGTGTCTGATGATAAAGGTCGTATATGAAATTTATCACATTCTGTATGGGAGGAAGCGTGCAATTAAATTAAATGATACAATGTCAAAGAAATATATATATTTATGTGTGTCACAGAACAAGTATAATTTATTAGACAGATTGTTTGATCATTATGACATAATTCGTATGAAAGACATATCTCTAACATGATGATAGTAACAGATCCAATTGATCAATACAATCGTCGAACAATATTTTGCCTTCACTACTGTTCATTTATCAAATGAAAAGAATAGCACTGATGGATGCTGTCTATAAAGACATATAAAATTTTAAATAAGGGCTGGACAGACGTACTTCAGAATTATGGAAGGCTTTAAAATTTCCATGTTGTTTTTCATATAAAAATGCTAAAATTAATGAAAACGAAGGCGAAATATACCTTAAATTCTGGAGAAAATGCTCGGAATGTCATACAATTATTAATATAGTCTTAACAAACCGAGGTCAAGTCGCTCTTAACTGCAGAAGGACTTGATATCCATGTATCTACTAGTGACACAACGAATAGTAAACATAACAAAGAAACGACAATTGCGTGGTGCTCATAGAGCACGCATTGTAAAAGAAATATGCGCATCATCGGTATATGCATGGAGAAGAAAAGAAGCAGATGAAATAATGACATTTGGAGACGTAGAACCAACACATCTATACAAGGAGACTGTCTTATGTAAAGCTAAACAGTTGCAAAATGATAAAGATTTAGGATTAAGTAAGATCTCCGATCCTATTTTGTCTATTGCCGAATTGAAATATAAAGCCGAGTTTTATGAGAGAAATAAGCATGGATAAATTGTTTGTTATGGGAGCGATGAACAAGTATTTTTATACAAGAGGTTTAACAAACAATAAAATAAAACAAGTACTTTGAGTGTAGATGCTACTGGTTTATTAATAAAATGCATTAAAAGGCCAGATGGTACATCAGGTATGATATTTTTCAATCAAATCGCAGCTCCTTTTAATAGTAAAATATTACCAATGTGTCAAATGATTTCAGAGAAGCATGTCACTAATATTATCTTTCTGATTATGAGAATGGTTACGAACACCTGTTCCTTGTCTTTCAGAAATTGTGATTATTCTCTCGCATTATTAAATGCCATTAGCCTTGCGTTTAATGATATAAATTTAAGCACAAATTTATATTGATCAATGTGTAACCTTTCTAGAAGATTCTGATTATGTACAAAAGCCTAAATGCATCATACGCATTGACATCGCACATCTAATAAAATTAGTATGTCGATGGAAATGTTTTGAGAATAAACATATGTGAATTAAAAACTTTTATGTACGCTGCGTTGGTCTGTTAACAAAATATACAGACATTGATATATTTCCAAATTTGTCACGATCTTTTAATCACAAGTGTTTCTGATATTGAAAATATAATTATGAAGGAAAAAAAATTGCTTCAGTGCACAAGAGAGGTTAATTAAATTAATTAAGGACGATATACTTTCATATGACAATGATCACGAAACAAATCTTGATGAACGAATTACAGTAAGTCAAGTAAGATCGTGGTTGGCTTTACTCAAAGCTAATAAAAGATATCGCCCTAAATCTATCATGAATCCATAGAGGGCACCTTTGTTCTTGATGCATTATTAAGAAATTCAGTTGTCATTGAACTTTCTTAAGAGAATCACATTAAGCGCCATGAGTATCAAATACGCATCACGCTATGAAGCTGTGTTCCTCTGCACTCACCCAAAAATGTGCAAAAATAATTAGCGGCTGCTAAATATATGAAAAAGTCGAAATCATTCGTACAGAAATGGGTGCAGCGATATAATGTGACAAAAAAATGTCGATGATTTACCGAACGTGGCTCAAAAGTGCAAAGTAGACAAAAAAGACGATAAAAAAATAGTGAATCTGTTTTCGCAGAATCCTGGCTTAACACTGCGTCAAGGACAAGCAAAATTGAAGCAGAAAGGTTTTCATATATCGTACGAAACTATTCGAACCTATCTCAAGGAGAGCTAATAACATGAAATGGTGCAACACCACATTGGTCGACCATGCTCTTACTTGACTTACTGTAGATAACAAGCGGTGCAAAGATGAAGAACTTTTTGCGGTGCATTCAATCAACAAGTGAAACAAATACTATTGAAGTAGAAAGGCCAAACCATATTGGTGTCCACAGTTTAATACAAAATTATTTAAAATAGTTAAACATTTTCCTTTATGGTCAGGAATAATGTCGGCACAAACGGAATCTTCTGCCTGTAGCGAAGAATATTTCAGAGAATTAAAACAACTGATTTTTAAAACTAAATGTGTATGCGTGTTGATAAATTTTGCATATTAAAACACTTAGAGGTACCATAAAAATGTTATATGCTGCTGATATTGATGTTACTGATACTAAAATTGATAATGATGAAGTCAATTTAAATAAATTTAAGTCTCCCGTTCTATTCGATACTACTAATAATGACGATATCACTACTAATAATGACGATTGCAATGCTATAAATAATACAACGGCGAATTTAAAAAAATCGGACAGGGCATCAATTAGTGAAGAAATTCTAACCAGTGCTAAAGTTTTATCTGTCGATATTAAAGATTGAAGTAGAGAATTTAATTAATACGAACAACACAAGTACCGAAGAATATACTAATTTAACAAGTTACACCTATTTAAACGAAAAAGAAAATTGGAAAGGCAAAACAAAAGTCCTAAGAACTGCGGCAAGTATTTAACTATTTATCCAGAAAGCATTCATGTAAAACCAAAATTTATTAGAACTGTATCATTATTTAAAAAATGATAACATTTTAGATCCAGTGATAATCGAAAAGAAATCTGTTTTATTAACAAATGTTTTGTTCTTTCGATGCCATTGCGCAGACACTATTGGTCGCTTATTATGACTGGGCAAATTTTCATACCTATCTAGAGCAAACAGAAAACGACATATTTCATTTCATAAATGAACTATCGATATGTAAATCATCCGTAAAAATATATAAAGAAATGGCATTACTATTACATAAATTCATTACGTCTATATGTGAAACAATAGAATATAGCTACAACATCTCTGCTTTAGTTAATCACATATTAAAGAACGAATTTTTGTCCAAAATAAATATGGGATACCTACATTGTCAATACAAGAGAGAAGACAAATATTAGGTTGGTGAAATGTCAGATTTTTAAGTGAATATATAAAACTGCATATCTTTTTTCAAAAACTGTTTATTTAATCAAAATATGCTCCATTTGTTTCAATACACTTTTCCCAACGAGATTTTAATGCATAGATGCCTGTCTTAAAGAAATTCTGATCTTTAGAATCAATAAACTCTGATATGGAATTTTTCAGTCTTCATTTTCATACTGTTTAGCCCGTAAAAACTGTTCTAAATATTTAAAAAAATGAAAGTCGGTTGGCGAAAGATCCGGTGAATAAGCTGGATGCTGCAAAATTTCATATTTTAATTCATTTAATTTCGCAATTGTTTTGTACGATGTCTGCGGCCGAGCGTTGTCATGGAGAAGTATTGGGCCATGCCGATTAACAAGTGATGGGCGTATAATTTTCAATTTTTCATGCATTTCATCAATGTACTAGTAGTACTTTTCGGCTGTACTTGTCTCCCCAGTTCGAAGGAATGAGTAATGAATTACTCCAGTCAGATTCCATCAAATTGTTATTAAAATTTTCCGAGGATGAAGTGATGGCCTTGGAGTATGAGCACAAGCCTCATTCCTATCAAGCCACCGAGCACATCTTTTCCTATTGTCATAAAGAACCCATTTTTCATTACAAGTAATAGTCCGATAGAAAAATGGCTCTCGATGAAATCGGGTTAGTAATGATGAGCATAAGTTCAATCGATCCAGCTTATTTCGCTCATTTAGTTCGTGCAGTACCCATTTATCCATTTTTTTCACCTTGCCAATTTCAGAAAGGTGTCGCAATATCGTTGTATGATCAACTTTCATTCTGGTAGCAAGTTACAAGTTCCCTTGTAGATACAGTTGGATTCGTTTCTACCAATGCTTTCAGAGCATCATTTTTCACAGACGTTTTGGG